CCCCGACGCGAGAGGCGCCCTTTCTTGCCAAGCACCTCAGGAGCCCCCACAAACCCACTTCCAACTCACCCACACACCATGTGTGAGGATGTGGGAAGGACGGCTGATGTTCGTTCAAAGTACACTGAGCAGACCTGCCACCACATGGCCTCCATCTGCGGCAGGGGCGGGAGCGGCGGCGGCATGTGTCGGCTGCAGGTCCGCACCAGCCGGGGCTGCCCAATCGATGGCGCATGGCGTGTGCAACTGTCTGACAACGGCGGGCAGGATTGCAGGGCCCTCTAGGCGCCGGCCAAGCGCACTACACCAGCGAGGTACACTGCCCGGACTGTCTGGCCCGCGCCAGCACCAACGGCAGCACAATCCCTGACCTTTGCACTCTCCTCCAGCGATCCAAGCCCTCTCCCTGCTTGCCAGCGTTCTACAGGCAGCCTTCCGGAACGGCGCTGGGGCAGAGCTTGGTGAAGCACAGGCGCTGCGCCAGCAACTTGGGGCAGCTGTCAGGAGCCTGATACAAGCGGCAGCAGCAAGCGGCGGGCCCGATCGCCGCCAATCTGCTCGCCGTGCTCCACAAACGGCTAGCAGCCTGCATCGCCTTCAAAACGACAGCTGCCACACCCCCTGAAGCCAGTGGCACGCGCCGTAACAACCGCCGTCGCCGGCCAGGTGGGGGTCCCTGCTGCCGCCGCCGCTGCCGCCAGCCTGCGCTGCCGCCGCGACAGATGCCTGGACTGGCTTGCACCTGCCTGCACCACTGCCCATGCACTCTGTGGGGGCAGGAGGCCAGTGTGATGGCTGCAGAAGGGGTGCTCTTTCACATGCATTGCTGTTGCACATGGATGGGGTGGGCCCGGCGCCGCCCCGCTCGCGCACCGACCCGCGCGGCGCGCGCGAGTGGTCTGCTGCAGCCTCTGCTGTCTGCTGCTGCACACATATGCTCCCTGGAACTACTTCTTGCTGCTGGAATGGGCTGGGAGGTGCAGTCATGCAGGGACAGGGGTGCCTGGCACCTTTGCGGCGGCGGTGGCGCGCGACGCCACCGCGTCATCGCGCGCCGCTGTCACACCACAGCTGGGACAGCCCTGCTCAGCCACCCTACCACACACCCTCTCCCTGCTGCAGTGCTGAAGCAATGGCAGCTGGTCAGCAGGATGCCCCATCACAAAGTTCTGGTGAGCAAACATGCATGAGGTGGGGAAGCGCGCCGCGTGCGCCGAGTCGCCCGACGCGGCGAATGCACACCACCAGTCAGCCAGTCACTGCCCACCACTTGCATGCCCAGTTTGTGAACCAGCACCAGTCACTGCTCTCCCCACATGCCCACAAAGGCTGGGGCTCAATGTTGTCTGTGGGGGGGCAATTGTCCAAGGATGCTAAGCCCCTAAATCGGGTCTCCCCGGGGACAGTGCGGACAGGCGCCTGCGCAGCCCTATGCCGGTCCCGCCAGAGAGTTCACCGCCCCTTCCTCCTCCCCCTGCCCTGCACAATATAAAGATCAATCAATCAAGGGTACTGTGTTACTGTGGGCTCACGGCGTCCCGCGCCTTCTTGCGGCATGCAGCCGCCAGGGCTGCCAGCTCGGTGTTGCTCTGCTGGAAGAATGCGCTGAGGGGACGGACGCCGGCGGCAGGCCCAGGAACTCGTGGAACAGCTCCGGCCAGCGCTCGCGCTCGGCGGCATACAGGGGGCACACAAACAGGATGTGTCGGGTGTCCTCAATGCCGCCA